AGCATTACTACACCCCCCCCCCCCTCTAAACTCTGATGTGCCGAAACAAAATGTGTAGGAGTTTTCGTGAGAGGGGCAATGTATACGTGCAGTGGGTGGATGGCTGAGTTGATTGATGCGTTGTGCAAGAGGCTGGTGGCCCCACTTTCCAAAGGTCAACACAGACAACTTGACGAGAATGTCTTTGTATTTTTTGGTTTATGTTCTTGTCCCTTGTTCTGACATTCTGATTTAGCGATCTCTGGGGCGCATCTGGTTCTGACCAGCTGGGAGCTTGGTCTGAGGGTCATTTTCTTTTGGTTAGGATTGCTTTTAGTGGGTGGGGTTATTTAAGAAGCAGTGCCTCTTGGTGGGGAACCCTGGAGAAGACCGCTACTGATGGGTGGAGATTTATGAAAACTTAAATACCCGAAGTATCCATCGAGTCATTGAATGCCTCCTTTGGGATTCGAACAAGGTGGTTTGTAAGTAGTCAACCACGAGGGCAAATATTCTAAAAGCGCTCCCGAAATAGAACAAGGGTCTGTTGAGCATTCTTTATGTACTTGGGAATTTTCTCTCGGAGCTGTGTAAGCAAAGTAGCGACCCCCAGAATACCAAGGTTCTTTCTAACTTGGAATTATTACTGTTCGGAATTTAGACATTTGCTCTCTCTCTCTCTCCCTCTCTCTCTCTCTCTCTCTCTCTTTCTCTCTCTCTCCCTCTCTCTCTCTCTCTCTCTCTCTCACCCCCTCTCTCTCTCTCTCGTCCTAAAAAAATAATGTAATTCGAATCCCTCAGCTTTTATACAAACGTTGGAGTCCCATTCCTCTATTTTCTAAGATAAAACCATGTTAATTTAGGTTTGATCGCTGCATCATAATAATATGTAGATCTAAACGTAAACGCTGTAATCCAATTCTTTTATTTTCTGAGATAAAACCGTTTTACTTTTATTTTGGTTGAAAACTTCGAACTCAAGCAACCCGAAAGTGTGTGCAACTTCAACTAAACCCTGTTATTGTGGGGTCGCAAAGTGCTCCTTCTTCTTTAAGTAGTTATTATCCCCCTTGAGTGTCAAGGCTTTACAAGACACAAGTCATTTCTTCTCCGGAGCAGAAATAATAATTGGTTCCGACGTTTGGACGCCAGAGCGAAAATCTATGTGTGTGTGTGTGTGTGTGTGTGTG